TAGGGCAGGGACACGGCCTGGCAGTGCGCGGGGGGGGAGAGGGCAGGGACACGGCCTGGCAGTGCGCGGGGGGGGAGGAGCAGGGACACCATTCCGATCTATCCTGGCTAATAAGTATTGATGGACATAACCTCCATGAATGTATCGAGTTCTTTTTTGAACCCTGTTAAAATCTTGATCTTCACAACATCCTCTGGCGAGGAGTTCCACAGGTTGACGGTACGCTGCATGACGAAAAACATCTTCTTTTTTTAAACCTGCTGCCTATTAATTTCATTCGGTGACCCCTAGTTCTTATGTTATGGGAAAAAGTAAATAACTTTTCCTTATTCACATTCTTCATATCTGTCATGATTTTACAGACCTCTTATCCCTCCTTAATCTCCTCTTTTCTAAGACGTAAAGTCCCAGTCTTTTTAATCTCTCTTTATACGGCACCTGTTCCAAACCCCTCGTCATTTTTGTTGCTCTTTTCTGAACCTTTTCCAATGCCAAGAGATCTTTTTTGAGATGAGGCAACCACATCTGTAGGCAGTGTCCATGCAGTGGGTGTTTTTAGAGAACTATCCACAATGACTCCCAAGATCTCGCTCTTGAGTGGCTCCAGCTAAATTAACCCCCATCGTTTCATAGAATTATTCTTTCCAATGTGAATTACTTTGCATTTATCAACATTAACATTTCTTGCCATTTTGTTGCCCAATCCCAGCCAAACGACCCTGCCCCTGACACCGAAAGGAGAAGCCAGGTTCAATGATCCGCCCGGTGCCAGAGCTGGGAGCACATGCGCCAGAGACCTACCTCCTTCCATGTCTTCTGTCCAGTTGCGGCTGCTGCTGGTGGGCGAGCTGGGCGAAGTGTAGTACTCGCCCCCCGGACTCGTGTCTATGTCATCCTCCATGGAGCCAGACTTGTGCCGTTTGCTCCTGCAGAAGGGGCAGGAGGAGAAATTATCGTCGGCTCCTGCCTGTCATGCCTCGGCACTCTGCCCCTTGCTGTGCTGTGTGGTCTAGTGGCTAGCGCCAGGCATGAGCAGTCTGCCTGTCTGGGTTCTGCTCCTGTCCCTGGGAGGGAAGTGTAGTCTAGTGGTTAATGTGCGGGACTGCCCCTGAACGGCTGCTTGAACTCAGGTGAGATGTGGCCCCTCCTCCCTGAAGTGGGGGGCTCTCCTCCCGCGGGTCACGGCTGCAGTAATGGGATGGGGCTCCTCCCTGGGCAGCGGAAGGAGTTATTCCTCGGGCAGGCTCCTCTCCCTCTGCCTGGAGATTCTGGGCCACGCGTGGCCGGCCGCGGCGCGCTGTGGCTGCTGCCCGGCGGGGTGCGCACAGAAGGGGTGAAGCGTTGGCAGCAAGCCCCAGGGGCAAGGAGAAGTGGAGCCGTTGGGCCAAATTCCTTCGGTTACACCTGCACGGCCGCAGTGGGCTGGAGGGGAGGAGTCGG